AATCTGTGATCACTGATTATGACTTGCTGAAAGCTTAGGTGATGGTTAGGACTTTTGGGGAATAAGATATTTTTAAATTAAGGTATATAAATTTTTCAACATAATGTTCTCGTACACTTAATAAACTACAGTATAGTATAAACATAACTTTTATATGCACTGGGAAACCAAAAATGCACTTGACTCATTTTATTGCAATATTTCCTTTATTTTGGTGGTCTGAAACTGAACTGTCAGCATCTCCAAGGTATACCTGTACTTCTTACTAAGGACTGAGAGAGAGCATTCAGAGAGAAAGCCACTCATATAAAACAGAGCATTCATGGATTGTGGGTCTTTCTCTGGTCCAGCATTCCATTAATATGCTGGACCCCACATGGAGAAGCATATTTAGAATTCAGAAAAGAATGTCCATAATTTATAATCACATGAAAACAATACACATATATGTGAGGTAATAATATTAATATGGTTCCTAAATCAAAGGGTATCAAAGGGTGTACAGCAAAAAGTCTCCCTCCCATAGATACCCCCAAACCACCCATCTCGTTTCTCCTCTTCCAATTAACAGCCTCTTGGGGTGCCTCAGTGGCTCAGTCAGTTAAGCATCTGACTCTTGGTTTCAGCTCAGGTCATGATCTCAGGGTCATGGAATAGAGCCCTGTGTGGGCCTTGTGCTCAGCGCAGAACCTGCTTGAGATTCTTTCCCTTGGCCCCTCCCCCTGATCATGTTCTCTCTCTCTCAAAATAAATAAAAACTTTTTTTTAAAGTTGTAATTTCTACACTACTCTTTAAAAAGAAAAGGCAACAAAAACAATTAGCAGCCTCTTGTGTATCCTTCTAGAAATATTATCTCTATACCAGTATATATCCCTAAGTGTTCAGTGTTCTGTGCTTTGCTTTTTTTCACTCAACAATATATCCTGCAGATATTCCCTTTGAATGATACATCAAGAACTTCCTCTTTCCTTCTTACAGCTGCATAGTACTGAATTGTGTGAATGAATTTAATACATTAAATAACCTCTTTGCTGATGTACATTGTATCATGTTTTCAAAACTAATTTGAGATATAATCTAATTATATCTACAATGACCCTATTTTCAAATAAGGTCACTTACTGATGTACTGTGAGTCAGGATTTCAACATATCTTTTGAGGGGACATAATTCAACCCATAACATCTGCATTGTCAATAGTGAAGGGAAACTGGCATGCTAATACATTGATAATGGCACCATGAATTGTTTAACCCTGTAAAATGGCAATTTGTCAATATGTAATAAAATTTTAAAAAATATGTCTACTTTCTGAAATAGCATTCTCAGCATTCTGTCTATCCTAGGAAGATGATTACACAGGGACAAAATGTGATATAGAAAAAGGCCTTCACAGTGTTGTTTATAACATAAAAACACAGAAAATAATACTAAATAACTGGTTAAATGGACTATGATCTACATATATGAGGTCATTAAAATGAAGATATTATTTTATTGAGCTTCACAATGAAATACTACACTTCCCAATGATAACATAACTTATCATATCTTTGTCAAGAATTCTGTGGCCTTGAAGGAGTGCTTAATTTTCTTTTTAAATTTAAAGTACATAAAACAAGTAATAGTTAATGTTTATTATAATTATGTCTATTATAATTGTTTAAATATTACTATTTATAACTAACTAACACGAAGCAACAAGTATTGGCAAGGATATGGAGCAAAGAGAACCTTTGTGCACTTTGGTTGGTGGGATACAAATTGGCGCAACCACTATGGAAAATAGTATGGAGGTTCCTCAAAAAATTAAAAATAGAAATACCATATGATCCAACAATGCCTCTTCTGGGTACTTATCCAAAGAAAATGAAAACACTAACTCAAAGATATATGCACTTCCATGTTAATTGCGGCATTTTTACAATAGTCAAGATGATGTAGAAACAACCTAAGTGTCCACTGATGGATGAATGGATAAAGAAAATGTGCTGTGAATGTGTGTGTGTGTGTTGTATATATATATATGCATATACATACACATAGAAGCAGTGACAGTAGAATATTATTCAGCCATCAAAAGAAGGAAATCTTGCCATTTGCAACAACATGGATGGACCTTGAGGGCATTATGCTAAATGAAGTAAGTCAGAGGAACACCAATATTGTATGATCTCACTTATATATGGAATTTTTAAAAAAGAACAAAAAACAAACAAGCAAACAAACCAAGTTCATAGATACACAGAACAGATTGGTGGTTGCCAGGAGGTTGGGAGGGGCAGTGGGTGAAATGGGTGAAGGTGGTCAAAAGATACAAACTTCCATTATAAAATAAATAAGTCATGGGTATGCACTGTACAGCATGGTGACTATAGTTAATAATACTGTATTGTATATTTGAAAGTTGCTGAGAGTAGATCTTAAAAGTTCTCAAGAAAAAAAATAACTATATATGTTGACAGATGCTAACCAGAGTTACTGAGATAATCATTTTGTTATATATAAAAATATTGAATCATTATGTTGTATACCTGAAAGTAATATAATATCAAGTATATCTCAATAAAAATATTACTAACTTGTGTGTACATTTTATTTGGATTTTATGTTTGGTAATAAGAAAATATGCTTATAAAATTAAATTAAAAACAGTATCAATGGTATTTATGTAAAAAAATGCAAAGGAACCTTCTTAAAGATGATACACCAAAATGTACAATAATCAGTTAATGGTGGGATTAAAGAATATTTTAATTTCCATATTTTGGTCTTCTGTGTATTCTATTTTTCCTATAATGGATGTGCATTGCCTGTGTGATAAAGCCTAAACAAACAGTGGCTTAACCAAAGGAAACGGGAGCTGGGGCTGCTTGGATATCTAATGATGGACCTCAAAAATTGATGCCAGGTGAGCAGTGCTAAGGAAGGACTGGGAAGTGAGGAGAGCCAATGGATGCAGCGGGAATTCTCTCCCACCCCCAGGGTAGACATCCTGGATGGGGGGGTGGTGTACCTTGGGCCTCTAAGGACCCTCTGTGCTGCTCTGAGCAGAGCCTTGCCACCTGCAGGCATACACACGACCTCCTCTAGTATCCTGGGTCCTCTTTGCCCACAGCTCACATGGGAGGAAGAACAGGCATGCATTTCAGGTATGTGATCGCAGAAAGGAGGTCCTGGCCCCAGCTGCAAAGGCAGCACAATGCAGATGCACCCAGTAGCAGAACAGAGGCTTTTGCTCAAAAACGTTAAGGGGTACCATAGGACAGAAAGAATGCAGTATGCACATGTGGGTGCTGAAGGCCCTGCTCCCTCCCCCTGTTCAGGGAGAGCAGAACCACTGTCCAGGTGGGGAAGACTACCCCCCATATACACACACCAAGTCCAGCTGAGGTACCCTTGGCCCTACCCTTTCATGGGGCCCCAGAAGTGGGTTTTAAGCACCCTAACAAGGCCTGTGCCCCATCCAGGGATCAGGGCATGCAAACCTAGCAGTAGGTCTGCAACCAGTGGTCAATACTTATACCATGATATAGATTCACTGTGAGTAAACCAAGTTGGGGAGGTCGGGCAACTGGCCCCAGACCACACTTTTAATGCTTCCAGATGATAGGAGGCATAACCAGAATCTCAGCTCCAGGAGCACAATAACCCACCATGAAGACATGGAATGCTCCTTGGAGCAAAGTAATGAGGTCCAGGTGGCCTGGGCACACCCACCTCCGGCACCCACCTGTACACTGTCTCTAAAACCGGGCACTTGGCTCCAACAGCTAGCTCACACCACTGGAGGGGGAGAATTCTTGGACTTGGGCCAGCTATGTACATTAGTGCCTGCCCAGCTGCTCAGACTGGTCCACCAACTACCAACTCCATGGGCCAAACCCCAGAATTCTCTCAGAGGAGAGCAGCCCACACCCCTGTGGCCCCATACTCTCTCTACCTTTCACTTCTTACTCTGAACCAGTTGCAGCTTCTCTGATAGATCATGTTTTCATACTGACACTTCAGTATTGCCTTTCCTTTTAATAGCCTTTCCCCATACCAAATTCCAAATCTCGAAATCCGGTTGCCCCTGAAATCTATTTTAAATGCTTCTTTATTTAGGTACCCTCCCCTGATCCTGGGATGGAGGGAAAACAGGGCACAGACAAGATGATATATTATAACATCACAAGAAGTGGGAGCAGTGTCCAGATAATGAAATAAAAGAACAAGAGTACCCTAATTCATTTATAATTATGGATTCAGATCTTTCACCAAGACAAGTGTTGAAAGTTCCTGCCCTTAACAGCAAAAAATATAGTAAGCTATGTGGGCCCCCAAGATATACTCCATTTTGCCAAATACCCTAGGGTTAGTTCAGAGTCAGGGTGCCTCCTTCCTTAGGACCCTGTAACTGGTCAGTCTCTAAATAGGACCCAAGACTACAAAACAAATCTCTAGGTTCCAATTATCAATCCAAGGATTAAGCTATTGAGAGGACCTGGCAAGGTTTGCCAGACAGACTTGTTTTTGAGATGGGCGACTCACTTAAAAAAATAATTCCATGGCTCATCCTTGGACCTCCTGGCTCTGTACCTGGACTCTCCTGGGTTATTAATTTGTCACTTCAGCATTGGCAGAGTTGAGCAAATGTCTTCATGAAACCTTTAGGATCAATGTTCAGTTCTCCCACCATCATGGCTTCCCTCTGCCTTCTCTTCTACCACAGTCCAGCCATAATGTCCTTGACCTTCTAACCCACTTAGACAGCAGGGCATCATAGTTAAAAGCATTGGCTTGGGAGCCAATCTATCTTGAGTTCAGATCTGGGCTCTGATATTATATAATGTAACATGGGGCAAATAACTGAACATTTCTATGTCTCAATTTCCTTATGATAATTGTACCTACATCACAAGACTATTTTGAGAATTATATGTTTTTATAAGCACAGGTATAAGACGGGTATATGGTTCAGGTTACAAAATGCTTATTAAATAAAATAAATAAATACCTGTACTAGACCGGATTATCTCTGTCCCAACAACATGGCCCAGCAGGTCATACTGATTCAGGCGGGAGCCATCCTGTGCTACTTCCACAGATTTGTTCTTCCCAAGAGTCCAAGAATAAACCACTTCAGCTGTTGTATAGGCATCTAAGGCAGAAAAGGACGAAGAAGTTGAAGAGAAAAGAAAATAATTATCCTTAATACTGAACTTGCACGAGATTGAAATACAGCTTCCCTCCCAAAAGAGTTCTGGGTATGTGTTCTGTCTTCAACTGTAGTATATTTATCCATCCATCTAGTAAACACTCACTGAATAACTTCTGTAGTTTATGCTGGATACACAGGAGTGAACACAAAGTGGTCTCTTCTTTCAATGACTCACAGTCTTCTGGACTGACAATAAATTGTTAGACTTTTCCTTCTCTTGGAGGGTAGACAATAGAGACAAAGGGAGGAATAGAGAAAATATTATCTAATGCAGATGTCACAAATTCAAATGCCTATAGGAGTGGTATCTTAAATAAGTAAATCAGGCTAGTTGTAAAAAAAAAACTCAAAAATAAAACAATTTTAATTATTATGGGGTGAGCATATGAGATAAGGTAAAAATCATTGTAGAGATATTCTAAGTTAAAAACATAAAAACCTCAAATTAAAAATAGCAATAATTATTACAATTTCCTTTTAAAAAGTATTTCCACTTTGATTTGCAAAACAGAAACCTGCCTCCTTTACTTCTGCACCAAGTTATTAACGTCAGGTTTTGTATTTGGAATTCCCATGTTGAGTACAGAATTTAAGTATGGATTAGTTTTAATAGGGGTGTGGGTAAGAGAAATGGTGAGAGAATAAGGAATGATGTTATTTAGTTTGTCAGTATCTTAAAGGAAGAGAGTTGCTTTCTTTCCAGACATGGATTTACTCTTTGTACAGTGGGTTTTATGTTGGGGTGAGCACCTTGCCCTAACTCAGGCACCTAGGTTCATAAAGAGAAGCTGAACAGAATACTGTTCACCTATTTCACCCAACTTTTGAGCTGTTGTTCAACTCAGTAGGAGGTCTCCAGCTCGTGGTGGCAGCTGTTGTCTCTATAATATGCTCTATTAAAGCCTTTTACCACAAAGCAAATAATTCCTAGTGAATCTACCAGTGAACAAACATAAATTTTGTGTCTTTACAAAACTTTGCAACACTGGATATACATTTCATTAAGTCTGACATTAATACTTGCATGTACTAATTGTGGTCTGCTTATATTATACTACTTAGGACTTTTCTCAATATACCCAAATAAACCATTTTTGGATTTTCTTGTAACGGACAACCGCCAAAAATTTCTTCATTTACATCAAAATTCTCATTGAAATCATGAAAAAATATATATAACTACAGTATTTTTTATATCTGTGCTCTCATAAGCTATAAAAAGATGCCACAAGAAATCCAGCTTTCCATATAATATGCCCTATATATGGCCTCAGTCATTTATTCACCACAGATAAAAATACTTTAGTTTGGGGCACCTGGGTGGCTCAGTTGATGAAGTGTTTGACTTTGGCTCAGGTCATGATCCCAGGGTCCTGGGATTGAGCCCTGCACCGGGCTCCCTGCTCCATGAGGAGCCTGCTTCTCCCTCTCCCACTCCCCCTGCTTGTGCTCTCTCTCTCTCTCTCTCTGTCAAATAAGTAAATAAAATCTTAAAAAATACATGTAGTTCAGCATATAATTTATTCTGCAATGGACAATTTTTATAAATTTGGCATCTATAAAATATTTTGGTACCTGGAAAGGTTTGTTGCTTAATATATAATTTCATTTCCCAGCAGCAACACTTAGTGTATTCATTTAAACACAAAACCTGTTGAACTTTCAGTCTGTATTTTAAAGCTAATTAAGACTTTCATTGTACATCTTTTTTATATATCAATTATAGTTCTTTATAACAAATTGCATAATGTTAATACCTGAAGTTTTATTTCTTCAACAAAGGTGTACTTTGTATGCATAATAAAGATGTAGAAATAGTCTTAATTTCTATAAGGAAATGTAAACTCCCCTGGTTTTGAAACCAGTCCTTTCAGTCTTTTTTATTTTTGTTAAGTTTTGATAACAGGTAACTCTGTCACTTTCCTCTTAATTCCACTAGGAGCTCTTAATTCTATATGTAAAACAAAGGTGCAAGTGAGTTGATTAATGGCAACTGACATTGGACCCTTTTTCAGGGAGAGGGTAGAAAGTAATGGAAATTTGGAGGAATGGTCAAGCATTACAAGGACAACCACTACTCAGCTGATTGTGGCCATGTGAGAATTTGAGACCAATGTTCTCATATCTTCTTATTTCATAAAATAATAAATCTGGAGTTTTATGTGACATCTCCCAAATTTCAAATCTTTGCAAATAATTTTAAAAGTTATAAACACTGTATGGATCAAACAAATCATATTTGCAAACCACCAATTTGCAACTTCTGGTCTAGAGATCTTCTCCTATAGATGGCTATGCTTTTTGTGATTCAACCTTGGAAATAAAGGATCCTCTGCTTCCTATGGGATATTTAGGCCTCCCAACCAGAATTGTAGATCTTTATTTTTTTTTTAATTTAGATTCAATTAGCCAACATATAGTACATCAATAGTTTAAGATGTAGTGTTCAATAATTCATCAGTTGCATATAACACCCAGTGCTCAGCACCACATGTGCCCTCCTTAATGCCCATCACCTGGTTACCCCATCCCTCCATCTCCCCTCTCTTCTGTAACCCTCAGTTTGTTTCCCAGAGTCTAGAGTCTCTCATGGTTTGTCTCCCTCTTGGATTTCTTCCTCTTCAGTTTCCCCTCCCTTCCCCTGTGGTCCTCTGCACTATTTCTTATGTTCCACATATGAGTGAAACCCTATGATAATTGTCTTTCTCTGATTGATTTATTTCACTCAGCAGTGTCCCACATGTTTCTTACTCTTTTCTGTATTTTTGTCTCTCTGTGCTTCAGTTTTGTTATTTTCTGTTTCCCTATATTTTAAGTTCTCTAATCCCATATTCTACTTGTTAAATCTATCCATTGGAGGGAGTCCAAGATGGCAGAGGAGTAGGAGACCTTAGTTTCATCTGGTCCCAGAAATTCAGCTAGATAGCTATCAAATCATTCTGAACACCTGTGACCTCAACCAGAGATCTGAGAAAAGAATAGCTGCAACTCTACAAATAGAAAAGCAACCACTTTCTGCAAGGTAGGAGGTGCAGAGAAGTGAATTCAAGGTGATATATGGGAAGATAAACCACTGGGGGAGGGAGCCTCCATCAGCCAGCTACTGGCAAGTGATATAGCAGTGGAGCACAAAATCAGAACTTTTAGAAGTCTGCTCCAGTGAGGGACATCACTCAGGTGACTAAGCAGGGGTGGAACCCTAGGTGGGACAGTGTCGTCTCAGGATCCTTGGGGTCACAGGAAGACTGGGGGTGGCTGAATGCACCAGAGTTCCCAGGCATTGGAGCTGGGAAGCCAGCTCCAGGGCTGGAGATTGAGAGGTCGCCATTTTCATTCTCATCTTCTAAAGCAGCAAGGAAAGCCTTCAGGGAACAAAAGCCACATAGAGCAAACCAGAGGAGAATACTTAGCCTGGCCCCCTGGCAAGGGTGGTGCAATTCCACCCAGGGCAAATACACTTGAGAATCAAAGCAACAGGCCCCTCCCACAGAAGATCAGCAAGAACATCCAGCCAAGACCCAAGTTTACCAATCAATGAGAACTGCAAAACTCCAGAGCTAGGGGAACACAGCACATAGAACTCATGGCTTTTTCCCCATGATTCTTTAGCCTTTCATCTTTAATTTTTTCCTTTTTTTTTTTTTAAAGATTTTATTTATTTATTTGACAGAGAGAGACACAGCGAGAGAGGGAACACAAGCAGGGGGAGTGGGAGAGGGAGAAGCAGGCCTCCCACAGAGCAGGGAGCCTGATGCAGGACTTGATCCCAGGACCCTGGGATCATGACCTGAGCCAAAGGCAGACACTTAACGACTGAACCAGCCAGGCGCCCCCATCTTTAATTTTTTCTTAATTATTTTCTCTTTTCTTTTGCAACCAATTTCTCATTTTATCAACTCTTTCTTTAATCTTTTTTAATTTTCATTTTTACAGTTATATTCTATTCCTTCATTGTATTTTTTATATAGATAGATAGATAGATAGATAGATAGATAGATAGAGATAGATAAATAAATAGATAGATAGATGATAGATAGATATATTCTTTCTTTACAATTTTTGGATGCAGTTTCTTCTAACAGACCAAAATACAGCCAAAATCTAGTGTATGGCTCTGTTCTATTCACCTGTCTGATCATATTCTCTTTTTCCTTCTTTTTTTTTTTTGTTGTTGTTGTTTTGTTAAAGTCTTTTTTAAAATTCATCTTTACAGTTATATTCTATCCTTTCATTGTATTTAATTTTATTTTTATACATATATAAGTTTTTCTTCCTTTACAATTTTGGGATGTAGTTTTCTTTTTTTTGGGTGGGGGGAGGATCTAGTTTTCTAACAAACAGACCAAAATACACACAGGATCCAGTGTATTGCTCTATTCTGTTCACCTGTCTGCTTTTTTTTTTTTTCCTTTAAAAAGAAATTTTTTTTTTTTGTTTCCCATATCTTCTGATTTGTTTAGTGTATATTTCTCTGGGGTCATTGTTGCTATTTTAGTATTTTATTCTCTTGTTCATCTATTCTTCTCTAGACAGAATGACAAGAAGGAAAAACTCACCACAAAAAAGAGAACAAGAGGCAGTACTGACTGCCAGGGACCTAATCAGTATGGACATAAGTAAGATGTTGGAAACAGAGTTCAGAATAATGATTATAAAGATACTAGATAGACCTGAAAAAGGCATAGAAGACACTAGAGAATCCCTTTCTGGAGAAATAAAAGAACTAAAATCTAACCGTGCTGAAATCAAACAGGCTATTAATGAGATGCAATTAAAAATGGAGTCTCTAACTCCTAGGATAAATGAGGCAGAAGAGAGAATTGGTGATAGAGAAGACAAATGATGGAGAATAAGAAGCTGAGAAAAAGAGAGATAAACAACTATTGGATCATGAGGAGAGAATTCGAGAGATAAGTGACACCATAAAGTGAAACAATATT